AATTCACCATGGTGAAAGCCTAGGGCAGCGCGATGAAGGATGGAGAGAGCGCGATGACATCTGGGGGAGTCGCCGACCGTTAGAGGACATTGGAGCGTCGTCGCGGTAGAGTGGTTGCCATTGTTGCTGTGTTTTGATCAGCCATATTGCTGTAGGTAGGGTTCTTCGCGATTCGGGGAGGAGCATTGTTGAAGAGTGTCAATGTATGCTGTCGACGAGTATGTCGTCGAAGAGAGTACGCTGTCGACAAAGTGCGCGTTGTGGTTACCCGAGCGACAACAATTCGAGTCGGCGTCGAATACGTAGCCCTCAGTCGAAGGTTCCCCAGCGCATCACAGGCTCACAGTGCGATTCGATTGCGGATTCTACAGCGTCAGTTTGGAAGTGGAAAAGTAGAAGTACGAGCCCAGGAGTTTCGCGTCGAGATGACTCGGAGGAGGGGGAGGAGGGGTCGGCCTGATTGAGGAGGAAGAGGTCGAGGAGGAAGAGGTCCTGGGTGCTGTGGTCGTGCTCGTGGCCGTAGTCGTGGTCGTGGTCGTGGTCGTCGTCTATACTGGGCGTTGGATTTCTAGTCGTCGCGTTCCTGGTCGTCATCTCGAAATCTCCAACTGGTCGCCGTCGTCTGAATCCGCGTCGTTTTCTTTATCGCAATTGATTAGATCGAAGTTCGCGTTGTCGTAACCTCGTTGTATTCGTTCAATGTGATTATCGTCGTTAGTTCACAGCGTCCGCGCAATATTGTCGTCGTCATTAGTTCACCGCATTCGTTCGGTATGAGGGTGGTCGTTCCGAGTCATCGCATTCGTTTTACGTCGTTGCCGTCTCGAAAGTAGGGTTGGCTGCTGTCGTCTCGAAAATGGGGTTGCTGTCGTCGTCTTGCAGTTGAATTGGAGGATGGTACATACCTGGTTGCATCGAGTATGCATCTCATGACCCTCCCTCCCCACGTCCCGTCGTCACATTGTTGGTGTTCCTGGTCGTCGTCGTCGTCGTGGTGCTGTGGGATGGATCATGGATGTAGTTAGGAAGGCGGTCGCATGACCGCCAAGTCAGGGTTTAGGGCATGCATAGCCCTACCAGTACTGGTGGTGGTGGTTATTGGGGGATTGTCGGTGAGAGAGCTCGCGAGTGGATGTATGCTCCTAGTCTGATTCCAAACGCGATGAGATAAGCTACGCCAGAGCATCGACAAATCGTCGTTGGAGAGGAACAGGACAAGTCCGCATGCCACTGTGTCTAGACTCTCAATCGAATATGACGCTGCAGACCTATGACGTCGATGGACTTGCTTATTCCTTTCATGGACCATTCACTGACCCGTGTAGATCGCTCAAGGAAGATTCAGAGGCGGCAGGTGAGGAGGGGGTGAGTCAGACGATGACGAAGTGTTATTCAAGACAAAAAGGAAGTTTGTAGAACATGGGTTGAGAGTCGGGGATCTGAGAAGACGGGAATCGGGGGTCGGATAAAGGAAAGGGACAAGAGCCGATGTTTGAGACCGACAGTTTTGACAAAGAGAGACAGACAGTCGTCGCAGACCCTACTCGCCTTTCCTCAACCAACTACTGCTTTGTCGAAATGAAACACAAACGCACAAAGGCTTGAACGAACGAGAGGTCAGCGAGAAAAGGTCGGTGTGGAGATGGAGGTGCAGAGCCACGTTACCACACGGGGATGATGAGATCCGCGATCTCCATTTGGTAGGTGCCAACGGTGGCGACGTGACCTGGCCCTGACCCGGTGACGCTGCTGAGTTTTCTCTCGCCCTTTTCACCCGCTTTTTTGTCCCTTTCTTCTTCACTCCCCATCTCTACCTCGCCGTTTAATACCCTCTCTCTCCGCTCTCTCGATTTACGACGACGAACGAAGAGAAACAAGTGGTTTGATCAAAAGTAGTAAATTGGTAATATGTCGTCGAATAGCAACCCGCCAGACGCTCTCAAGGGTTCGTTCCTCCCTCTCCTTCACGTTCTTGTTATTAACAGTGGAATAGGGACGACAAGTCAATCACCTCCCCCGCCCGTCGAATTGAAGCATATGACGTCCAACAACTCGCTCCTCTCGCCCAGCGCGGCGTTATCAGTATCCACATCGCCCACAAAAGACGGCGGCGCTCATGGCCATGACCGCCATCGAGGCATGGAGAGGGGCAATAGGCGCACCTCGCAGAACCTACGAGCCACGACAGACAGGCTCGGCTCGCCGAGTTCGATTCCGTCGTCGCCTACCAGCGTGTACGTCCCCTCGTCGTTCCTGTCTCGAGCGAGTATTGACACAAACGATTTCTAGACACTCGAGCTCGAGTGCGATTTTCGAACGCGATATTGAGCCGATGGTCTCGCCCAGCTCACCGCCTTACCTCCCCTCCCCAACCTCGCCTCAACGTCCGCTCGACCCACACCGCATCCCCCGCGCCAAAGCCACAGAGCAACTCGAACAAGCCGTCCCATCCGTGCTCGACAGCGCAGCCGCCATCCTCGCCACCCTCGACATCGACCCCGCCGCCCCCTCAACCTCAACCTCACCCGACGCCCCGCCCGTAGAGAAGACGAGCCTGGACCAGGTAGCGGTCGTCGCACCCGCCTCATCAACCATTTTCGAGAGTTTGGGAGGGCGGACAAGCGGGTTTGCGAGCCCGCTGAGCTTTAGGAGTCGGAGTCCGTCGCCGTTGGGGAATAGGGGAGCTCCTGCGCCACCGCGCCAGACAGATTTGTTGTTGGGCATCCCATCGCCTGTGGCGAGCGTCGTCTCCCCACATACGGTCTCTTCCTCTGTGATCTCTAGCCCCTCACCCTCGACGTCGACGTCCCCGCCTGTGCGGACGGTTCCTCTATCCTCGTCGCCGCCGATTGCACCCCAGATCGCTGCGTCGATCAGTAAAGATTCGACGTACTCGACTGCGCCATCGCTCGTTACACCCACTTCGACGTCGTTCGAACCACCAAACGACGATGCGGTTTCTGTTTCGTCGGAAGCGCCAGCACCCACAACCCTCCCCCTCGCCGCCCTCACAACCTCCACCACCACCTCCTTACCCTCACCACCAGCGACATCCCCTCAATCTACGACCTCACCCTCGAACCTCACACCTTCCCACCCGCCCTCACCACACCACGTCCCCAAGAAACGCCTCTCATTCATGTCCTACTCCGACTTGCTCTCCAGCACACCAGCCTCGACCCTCCCGCTCTCCTCGCTCACAAAAGAAGCCAACGCTTCCGATCCGCCACCGCACATACCCAGTGTGTCGGGACTGAACCTCGTTTCCGCCGCAGCGAGTGTAGCGAGCGGGAGTGTGTACGGCGGGGGGTCCACCACCGCCTCTCTACGTGGCTTTAGTATGGGGTTGGGACCGACGGGTGGCTTGACGCACCCAGGAAAACGGGATTCCATCGCGTTGTTGGATAATGTGGGAGGCGAATGGGAGAGGGAGGGGATGGGTATGGGGTTGGAGGAGCGGTTGGATAGGCTGGACGTTGGTGGGAGTTCGTATGCGGGCAGTCCGGTTGGTGGCGGTGTGGGTGTTGTGTCGTTGCCTGCTGTCCAGGGCGCTGTGGCCGCTGCTGGGAGGGTGTAGTTGGCGTGAGATCGAGTGGTGAAGGTGGCTAACGACGATCAAGGGTCGACGCTCGACGCCCGACTCGTCTATCGTTGTCGATGCTGACGCCAAGTGCCCAGTCGTCGACTCCTTTTTTGCTGTTCGCCCCCCGCCCTCTCTCTCCCTCGCGTTCGTTCTTCGTTATTTGTTGTTCTTGTTCTCGTGGAATGCTTTCTTGGATCCTGTTCTTTTTAATTATGTGTTGTTCTTCGCCTTTGGATTTCTTGCACTCTGTTCTCTTTTAATTCGTCGACGTTGTAACCTTTCTTGTCGTCGCTCTCGATTCGATGTTTCGTTTTGCGCTCTTGTGGTTGTTGTCTTTTCCCCTCTTTTCTTACCGTAATACCTCGCGCCTCTCCCCCCTCGTGCCTTTCTTCACCTCGTCACCTGTAGTTTCGCGCTTCGTGTGTAATAGCTATTTCGCGCTCGCGTTTTCTCCTTGTATCCGACTCCCTCTTCTCTTCTCTTCTCGCGTTCCCTTCTTAAAGTCTCGTCTCGTCGTGTCGTTCTCTTCCTCCTGTTTCCAAGTCTCGTTTCTCGTCCCGTCTCGTGTCGTCTGTCTCTAGTCTCGTCTCCAAGCACCCTTACCCTACCTTACCCGTACCCTTACTACACTCTTACACTAAAGATTAACACCCCATGGAACAATAAATAGGTCAAGTAGTTATGTCTGTTCTCTTTTTTTTTTCGGTTTTCGGTTTTTTAGCTTAAGTATTTCGTATTTCGTATTCGTATGGTTATTTTTCGAGGTCCGAGGAATTTCAGATACAATATTGAAGTCGGAATTTGAGAATGGATCGAGGAATCAGAGTGAAGGAATTGGAATTGGGGGGTAGTGTGTGCTTAGGGGGTGCTTCTAGATGAAGAGAGCAGCGGCGGCACCCACGGCGATATACCCACCTATACCGACGATAGCGCCGACGCCGACCCCAGACTTTCTAACGAGGGGCGCTGCCAGGTGGAACTTGAACGACGGGTATCGGGGCGTCCCCCCTGATCTTTATCCTCCTGACCATCTTCATCCTAGCGAAGGTAAGTACTAAGTACGACGACGAGCGTGTGTGAGAGCCCGCGTGTGTTTACTAGACGGGGGTGTTTCGAAGAAGGGTGCCAACTTCCATGCGATAGTGCCTAGGTTTTGAACTGCGGTTGCATGATGCATCCGTCGTTGCGAACTTTGCGGGCGGCGGGGATGGTGGGGAACCCGTGAACGCTCGACGGGGCGTCCGAGTTGTCGATGGACTATGTATGTGCCCGTGGACGAGACTCGAGTAGAGTAGCCTTAGTAGGTGGAGGGAATCCCCACGGACACAGTATGCAGCCCACCCAACCTGGATCTCTGATCTTTACTACGTGAGCTCGAATCAGGATTAATGAGAAGTTGGACCGCGTTTCGGATTCCGGAAACTGAAATGGAGGGAACAGCTTACAAGAACGCGTTGTAGTACTAGTCGACGTGGATCGCCTCTTCGAGGTGGGGGCTTCACTCGTGCATGCGGGGTGGAGGGAATGAATGAAGGGTGTGTTTCAGCTGGTTTTGGACGCATGCCCTGTTCCTCCCGACTCCTCTCGTCGGGTAAGTAAGTACGTTGTATAGTTGAGTTGACATGCAGCACGTTCTGTCCATGTACCGCAATGGACAGGTCTCTTGCGGTGATGGGCGTCTAATAGTAGCTCATCCTTGGGCTTAGGGCTAGTATGTCCGGAGGTGCTGCTGTAATCTCCCTCATTCTCTTCTCTCTCGCTGCTATTTTCCTTATTCGAAATGGCGGAACAGAGTTGGATTTGGAACATATCACTGCTAATGATGCATCACCAGATCGTCACAATCGATACATTTGAGTTTCCAAGAAAACGGTAGCCAATTAGGCGCCGAAACAACACGCACTTCCCAACGGCTGTCAGACTAGGCATTGGAGTTCCTCAATGAAAGGATGATGATGATCTAGTCCCTGGTAAGCTTACCCATTGCCTATGTCCTCCTACTCGTAAGTACAGTTGGCTACCACACTGAACATCAACCCCGACAGAAAATAAGCGCCCAATACCGCGCCATGCCGAATTGGACATTCAATTTCCGTCAACACGAGGCTTGCCTGCCCGTCAAGCCACCGTTGATCTCCTCGTCCTGTGTCACGCGCTCTATTTCTGAATTGAATGACGGAACAGCCCCTTTGCTGCGCGTGCCAGAGGTAAAATACTTGAAGACAAGCCAAGCCAACCCCGCACACGTTTTCGTCCGTCTTCCACTTTCTACTCTACCGCCTGTCGCACCTTCTTCAGGGATCCCTTCTTTTTTAAAACGGTGCAGGGCGATAGCCGCGGTACAGCTTTTATATCACTTATTCGTGGCTCACGAAGGCCTGTTCCGCTTTTTTAACACACTACCTGTAGGGTTCAGGGCCAAACTCGCCAGAGATGGGTACAACAGATGGGCGAACGCGATGGGCAATGGTTGACGATACCCACCCTCTTATTTCCTGGGCAGGACAGTGGAAGACCACGCTCGACACAGTCGAGGATGCGTACAGCCGTAATGGACAGGTTTATGGAGGTTCTCAGCATGTAACGACATCCACCGGGTTCATGTCCTTCGTATTTCGAGGTACGCGTAACCCCCACTGCACGATTTTCATGGTTTCTTTTCAGTTGTTCGTGCTCTAATACCTCCCATCCACTGCACTACTAGGCAGCCAAGTTGCCGTCCACGGCACAAGTTATGCGAACCAAACCGACCCAGCCTGGTCGTGCTCGGTCAACAACGTGCGCTACGATCCACCACGAGGTTCGATGGGAGAAAAGAAGGACTATTGGCCTATATGTAACGTCGCCCTGAACGATGAAGGCCCCCATGTCATCACCATCGATGCAAACGCGACTGAAGAGCATCCATTCCACGTCGACTTCATCCGGTACCAACCTGTTTGGGAAGACTGCGAGACGCTTCACCCGACTGTTGTCCTGGACAACACTGACCCCGCGATAACATACGACTCGGGTAACTGGAAATCATATGTCTACAAAAATGAGACAATGCTCACGGTGGACAGGGGCGCAAGGGCGACCGTTGAGTTCCATGGTGAGTGATGCATCTAAATAGCCAAATTTCGTTCCTGACGCAAATGGGCCCCTCAGGAACGAAAGCGACTTGGGTGGGCTGGATTATCAGCTCCTATCCAGCGGGCGCTTCTACAGGAACATGGTCGATCGACGGGGGTGGTCCAGTCCAGTTCGAGATCCCAGGTCTTCCATCAGACGCAAACGAGACTCTCTACTTCCAGAACTTCTTTGAAACACCTCGCCTACGATCTCGTGGACCACACAAACTCGTCGTCACCCACATGGGTCCTTCGGCTCCCCTCACTCTCGACCATCTCATCATTGAGGATGGCGATATCGACGTCCCGCCCGGTGAAGCCAAGGTTATTGGGAGCGCTGCGGGAGGGATGGACAGTTCGACGCCGGTGGGAACGATATTGGGGGGTGTAGTCGGAGGACTTACCTTCCTCGCCGTATGCGCATTACTGACCTTCTTCGCCATCCGACGACAGAAGAAGAAGCACCGCATGGCCAACGAGGATCTGCCGCTGATTACACCTCTGATGCCGCCTGAAAATGACGATACTTCGACGAGTCAAGGTCCTTCTCCTCGCCGAAGTGGGATGCTTCCCTCCCAGAGGGTCCGGTATCCTTACCAGCCTCAACCGTCGCCTGGAATGATGCCGACCAAACCCAGCCTGTCTTCGGTGCCCACGAGCAACAACAGCGCCGTTCCAATGCTCTACACCAAGGCTACCAACCCCAACTTCTCTCGGACATGGTCATCCCCCAAGAGCTCGGCTTTCTCATCCCATCATTCACGACAACACTCCTTCCCTCCCTACCCGCAGCCTCAGTCTACCGTCCACGGGCATGACTCGAACACATCGAGCTACTATAGAGGATCTGGAGGATATCCCGCGGGTCTCCGACAGCATCAACAGCGGCAGTATCGTCAATCACAGGTGCTCCCGAACCCTACTACGCCGTCTTCATTGCGGCACGCGTTACCAAAGTCGATGGTCGATCTTCGTGGTTCGCAGTGGACCGCAGGAGGGGGTGGCGCGAGTTCAAACCCTGATGCCGACTCGTTCCCGATGCATCCAATGGATCGAACACGCCATACAAAGTCCACGCCATTCAAAGTCCGCATAATCCAGCAACATCCACTTGGAAAAGACTGCACAGGGGCTATAGGTTAGTCAATTACTCGTTACAGTGTTAAGTACGGTTTATATGGACGCTATCACAACTTGGATTTCATTGTTGTAAATGTACCAATTTGCTACATACCCAGCACACGACTGGGTGATGGAAAAAATTAAAGGTTTTCGCTAAGCGCTCAATGTGGAGTCCGCCTGGCGGTAAGCGCTGACCGGACTTCCTCCCTCTTACATCGAAATCGCTCCAGCCTCCAAGAGACATGGAGAGGGAGTGCCACCCCCAACACCACCCTCTGCTACTTCGCATACAAGTCCGAGTATGATACGAGAAGCCTATCCCCAGCTTCTGATTCAACAAAAGAACCACCCCCCAAGTTCTCAAATCGCCGAAAACCATTTAAACCTCCTACGCAGCTGAGAAAATAGACCTCCACATCCTCATTCAGAATTTCAGATCGGCTCAGGACACAACCATGCAATCACTCCGCTCACTCCTCCTTTCGTCGCTCCTCATCACATCCACCCTCGCAGCGCCTCAACCCCTCCAAAACGACGCACAGCCCACCTGTACCGCGACCGCGCAATCAACTTTCCACCCACCCAGCGCTCTCTGGATCGCAGACAACCTCCCAGCCGTCCCAGGCCTCCAATTGCCGCTGGGCCGCAACCATGTCTGGAAACACGACCGCCTCGACGCTCGCGTCTGCGTTACCAACTCCTCCAAAGAGAATCTGCTTATCAGTATTTCGGAGATTGGGCGAACGATCAAGAAGATTGTAGAGTCGTGCTGCTCGGACTTGGGGGAGGACGGTGGGTGTATGGGTGGGAGAGACAGTTTTTTAGCGAGAGGTGGAGACGGGGATGTTCCCTTGGAAGTGTGGGTTGGGGCTATCGGCGAGAATGTATGCTAGAGTCGTCCAAAGGAAATGCGCACAGCCTCGTTTACCTCGTCGAGAGTGCGATTGCCGTGTTCCAAGAATGGCTTCTCCCGAACTCTTTAGTGCAATGGTTCTCAGTGAAAACTGTTATTGACTGGAGAATCATGATATATCATATAAATCTGGAGAACCCCTTCTATCAACGCCCTCATACTGCATCTCCCGTCCTTCACAAGCCAACGATCATGTCAAGGGCTTCCGCGAATCATGTCTACATAAACCTGACCACAGACGACCAGAATGCTTGTTGCGGTTTCTTCCTCATTCAGTCAAGTCAACGATGCGATTCTCAT